TCTTTCTTTCTTTCTTTCTTTCTTTCTCTTTCTTTCTTTCTTTCTTTCTTTCTTTCTTTCTTTCTTTCTTTCTTTCTTTCTTTCTTTCTTTCTTTCTTTCTTTCTTTCTTTCTTTCTCTTTCCTTCCTTCCTTCCTTCCTTCCTTCCTTCCTTCCTTCCTTCCTTCCTCCCTCCCTCCCTTCCTTCCTTCCTCCCTCCCTCCTTCCCTCCCTCGCTCCCTCCTATCCTTCCTTCAGATTTAATTTGTTTATTTGACAGAGAGAGAGAGAGAGAGCACAAGCAGGGGGAATGGCAGAGGGAGAGGGAGAAGTAGGCCCCTGGGATCACCACCCAAGCCAAAGGGAGACACTTAACCTCTGAGCCACCCAGTTGCCCCTAGTCTTTCCTTTCTTTACAAAAGTGGCAGGGCTTGCTGTTACATGGGTGCACTAGCACACATTTAACCACATTCCTACTAAATGGACATTTAGGTTATTTCTGTCCTTTTATTTAAAAAGATACTACATGGACACAATTTACATAGATCTTTGCATCCATGTGTGAGAATATCCACTGGATTCATTTTAGCAGCTCTTTAGAAGATGGTGTGAAGGTCCAGGGTCCTTTCAACAACACTGGACCTGTCTTGGCCGAGCTCTGAGGTGGTGCATCTGAGCTGAGAGGGGAAACTGTATGAGCACACAAGGAGACGGACAGAGCAGGGACACCTTGAAGGCTGGGGACTCCAAGAAAGAGCCTGTGTCTGATCTATTAATGGGCTTGGGAAGTCACAGGGGTGGAAGGAAGCGGGAGGGTGAAATCCACACATCTTTGAGACACTGAAGACAATTCTGAAGTGCTTCTGTCTGTAAGAGCGCAGGCCCTACACCGTCCAGCAGACTCTCCAACTACAGGGAGAGAGGCAGCAGCTGCTTTTCTCTTCAGGTGAAATTTTCATAAGTAGGGCTTTCAGGAGACTCGAGATCATTCTGTTGTGGTGGTGGCATCACCTGTGAGCCAAAAGACACACAAGCATATGGTTAATAAAGCCTGGGAGGCCTTGGTTTCCTTGGCCCTGTGATGGTGAGAGAGGGAGGTCAGGCCAGTCTAAGACTGGTCCATCCTGTAGGAGTCAGGTCATATGGACTGGCCTAGGGATGGAACAATCCATCAAGCTGATGGCAGGCATTTATGCAGAACCTCCTGCTGGGAAGTTGGCTAGGCTCTCTGTGAGGGAGATAGAGGGCAATTTAGTGCAGCAGGTTGAGGGAATACAAAAATGGCAATAAAAGGCCTTGCTCTCAAGAAGCTACTGTCTAATGAGCTCAGTCTCTGCCCTGGCTGGAGAAGCAAGACAAATATCTGTAGAAAGATATTCCAGGTGGTAGAGATTATGCATCAAAGTAATGGTCCAGACTCGTAGGCCTTCATGTTCCCAGGGTTCTGAGGACTCCTTCTTCACCGAAGGCCCTGAGGAGCAGGTGAGATGTGAGCTGATGCAGACAGGAGGGGAGGCAGGGTGTCAGTAATAGCTCAGGAACAGTATAAACCTTTGAGATATCATGCAGAGACACATGTCAGAAAATAATGGCTAACGTACGTTTGAGAATTTCCTGACCAAGTGGGCAATGATAGCCTCAGGGGACCCAGAATCAAGATTCGTGGTCCTAAAAATTCTGAAGGCAAGGGATAAATTCTGTCAAGACCTTGGCCAAAGAAACGCATTCATTTCCACTTAGACTGTGAGTGAGGGTGGTTGCAGGGATCTGGAGTCCCTGGGGTGGTATGGGAGTCATGCAGGACTGACCAGACCAGAGGTGACTCAAGGCCATTCTGAAACTCAGAGTAGGGAGTGATGTCCATGACTTTAAGATTGACCAGTATTGGCCCAAACACAAAGGGCTAGGTCAGAGTAGAAAGCAGCTTTGGGAATATAGTGAAAAGTACAGATGAGGTCTCAAGGCCACAGGTGAAGTACCTTATTGGCTCAGCATAGGCGACATTTCACAAGACAGGACATGAGGTAGATGACGGTTGATGGCTGCATATCTGCACAAACACTTACTGAGCAAATTCTATCCATCTTTTAAGGTGCAATCCAAATTATTTTTTTCATGAAGCTTTTCCTGTCTACCTCAGTGCAGTGGTATCTCCCACTTCCAATATCTGGAAAACCCTTGGGAACTGCACACCTAACAAGTAGTATGTAGAGCGTTTTCATTTCCCTTCTAGGTGATTGAATTGGCTCCACTCCTCCTCCACTGAAAGCCAGGTAAGACAACAGTCTTCAAGGTTAAGGATAGTGCCTTAGACATATCTAAATCCCCACAGCATTCACTCTAGTTCTAGGCAAACAAAAGATGTTCAATAAATATCTATTGATTGATTCATCAGTCACAGAGAAGTAGTATAACTGAAAAACTTTGAGAGTTTTTCTTTTTTAAAATCTTGTTTGGGGGTGCATGGGTGGCTCAGTCGGTTAAGCATCTGACTCTTGATTTCGGCTCTGGTCATGATCTCAGGGTGGTGAGACGGAGCTCTGTGTCTGGCTCGGCGCTCAGCAGGGAGTCTGCTTAAGATTGTCTCTCTCCCTCTGCCCCTCCCTCCCTAAAATAAGTAAATAAATCTTTGAAAATATTTTGTTTGAGCATGTTAAAACAAGGAGGAAAAACAGGGAGGGAATTCTGGGAGAGATTTGAAAACAAAAGTATATATGGACCCAATGTTTTCAGGGAAGTGAAAGCAGAGCCGGCAGCTAGAATCAGGCCAAGGTTAATTGGTTAAGATTATTCAGGATTATTTTAAAACTCTTTGTGGTTCTTATTTTATTTTATTTTATTTTTTTAAAGATTTTATTTATTTATTTGACAGAGAGAGAGACAGCGAGAGAGGGAAGACAAGCAGGGGGAATGGGAGAGGGAGAAGCAGGCCTCCCGCCGAGCAGGGAGCCCGATGTAGGGCTCGATCCCAGGACCCTGGGATCATGAC